AATCAATGGAAGTGAAAGTGAGTTTGTTCACAATTCCCCAATCAATAGGTTCCATAGACCAATCAAAACCCGGAATAATGAAAAGAGTCAATTTTGGGACTTTCTTGCCATTGTAGAGTACATCAAAGGTATTAATGTCCTCATGTAATTCATGATAAAAAAATATTTAATGGTTTTATAATGATCCTCGGTTTTAGAGAATATTATCTGAAAGAGCTCAGGAGGAAAAAATTTTCTTGCTTTTTCAAGAAGACATATACGATTGATTTTAGCAAACGTATTTTGAGGGAAATCTTGTTCTCCTACTAACTGGGCAAGTTTAAGAAAACAATTTATTTGAGATAAAGAAAAATCTTTTTCCCAGTCAATAGTAAGACAGATTTGGATGCAAAGCTTTTTAAGCTCAGCAGTCATGGCTGTTTGTTCAGCTATGAGTGTCGTAAGAGAACTCAGATGTTATCTGAATTTCTTATGTGCATTGCTTCGTAAAGATCGTTTGGAAGACCAGGATTATAGAAGTCGTTAACTTCTGTTTCATCCTGATGTTTTGAAAACATTTTTTGTGAGGCTTGTCCCACGTTATAGAAAACTTTTTGAGCATCTATAAGTGTATCATAAGCCTTGAAACAGGATCCATTAAAAGAACGGAGCTGTTTGTGACAGTCATTCCATTCTGCATAAATGCCGGGTTGGTGACCAGCAAAAACCACAAACCATTTTTTTGGTTGTGATGGAGTTGGTTTGTCAACTGCCTTTTTAGCAATAGTGATCCAACCATCTTTATCTCGTGAAGGGTGTGGATGTTGTTCATCCATCTGTCACATTGGAAATGGAAATATCAGGTTTAGATATTTCTGTAGGTCTGCTTAAGAAATATGCAAGAAAATTGTTAGTTCCTTTAATATGTTCAATAACAAAGGAATATTGAGCAATAACATTATACCATTTTAACCTTCTTCCATCTAAACAATTCTTTTTATTTATTAGGAAATCTTTCACTGCTTGGTTGTCAGTGCAATAATAAAGTCTTCTGGAGCAAGATAAATATGAAATCTTTTTATTGCTAATTTTATAGCCAAAAGTTCCTTTTCATAAATAATATAATTCTGTTCATTGGGTTTGAATTTTTCAGAATTATAACCACAAATTAATTCTTCTTTTTGAAGCTACTTTGTGATAGGAGTTTTTCGGGCTCTTATCATGTGCGTGGAAGAAGTGTCTTCGTTCCATTTGTCGCGAGGAATTGCTTTTAACACACATCCCCAGCAAAAATCGGAGGCATCAGTTTCCAGAATAAGTTTATCTCCGTTTTGAGGAAAATAGACTTCAGGGATATGAACTAAGTCAGCTTTGATTTGCTAGATTATAATGATGTCATTAGTAGTCCAGTCAAAAGCTATATTTTTCTGTAACTTCTTTATTAAAGGAAGTTCCTTTTGAGACAAACCTTTAATAAATGTACGACCATAATTCAAGATTCCTAAGAAACTCTATAGCTGCTTTTTATCTTGAAGGATGTTAGGAAAATCACGAATTTTAATAATGATGTGATCTTGTAGCTTTATACCTTTATGGGTTAAAACGAGACCAAGAAAATCAATAGATTCTTTTTCAACATCTATCTTGGTTGGAGATAAGATGATTCCATAATTTTTCAGCTTTTCTGAAAGACATTGGAGGTGTTTTTGATGCTCTTCTCGTGTTTTAGAGAAGACTAGAATATCATCGATATAAACGACAACAAAATCTTTAAGATCATTAAAGATAGAGTCCATCCATCGCTGATAGATCTGAGGTGCAGTATTGAGACCGAAGGGCATAATGGTCCACTGATAGTGACCTCTAGGGGTACTAAAGGCAGTTAATGGCTTGGATTTTTTTCGCAATTTTATTTGCCAAAAACCTGCTTTACAATCAAACTTGCTAAAGATTTTGGCTCCGCGAGTTTGATTGACAAGAACATCTTTTCAAGGAATAAAATATCCATCAAAGATTAAATGTTCATTAAGCCGTTTATAGTTTATTACCATTCGGGCTTTACCTCGTTTGATCTCACTATGATTTCGTACCATAAAAGCAGGGCTGCTATGAGGGCTGCGAGTTCTTTCAATGAGCTTCTTTTCAAGAAGGTCTTGAAGCTAAGCATCAAATTCGTCAATATCTTTGCGAAGATAGATCATTGGTTTGACCCTGATGATGACGTTGTCATCTTTGAGTTTTAAGATGCAAAAATGAGGACTTCTTTTCCACATTGCACAATGCTTCCTTTACCTTCTTTTTTTTTGTTTTACAAGGTAAAAAGGCTTAGAAGTTAAATTAGTAGATACAGAAAGTCGAAACATGACATTCCAAAATCTACCAAAGACACTAACCCGCTGACTATCGAGGCATTTGCATACTTCCTTTCCTTTCATTCCGAGCAAAACCATTCTTTTAACGTTATTTAAACTATAAGAAAGCCAAACAAGGGGCCACAGAAAACAATTGTTTTTCACCTATTTATTCCACTACCTCCAAAACCTATTATACCCAAGTTGATGTTTTATTAGATCACTTGATGCATCTAATACACATACACTAGTGTTGTATAAATACCTAAAATTTCCATCATTCAATAAAGGAACTCTTTTACAAAAGTAATAGAGAGCAAAATCACCCATGAATCAAACTTTATCACAATGTTTCTGTTTTTAGAGCATAAAAATTATCCAAATTGAAATGACAAATTATTGCAATAACTTTCTTGAATACTTAAAAATTGAGAATAACAAAAACTGATAATAATACCTTGAGCAAAATGGTATACAAAAGCTCTCGAATACCCTATAACCAAATTCAATCCTTCAATGAAAGAATTCTATTTATGAAAGATTGAAGCTGATTCAAAACCATAAACTATTAAATATTCAAAACTATCAATTTAAAACACTTAAATAATTTAAATTTGAGATTTTGAATCACAATTTGTTGCACGAATTTCACGAGAGATTCAAAATTGAGAATTAACAAAAACTAGTAATTTTGAGTAAATAAAAAGTTGATCAGTCCTTTGGGTTACAATTTATGTCTTCTTCAATCCAAATAAGCTCTCCACATGTTTGTTGAAGAAGCTGTAACGGAATCCATCTGCATCTCCAGGTATGTTTGATAGAGCATAAACCATCCTCAATCTCTTATTTTCCAGATCATAATAAGCCCAATCAAAAAAAAAGATTATTTGAAAATTTTGATCTCAGTAAAATCTCACCAGTATGAATGGTACCAATTGGTTCAAATTGTACCCCCACTCACAATCTATAAGTTTCTTAGGATTGCCGGGAAAGAAACTCCGCCTATTCCAAATGTTGTTTTCGTAATCTTCCAATATGCCGATCGTATTCAACTTATAATCTACCAGAGCCAAACGTTCTCCAACTTCTATTAAACTAACTTCTATTGAACACCGGCCAATCATACCTTGAGGGAGCGTGAGGATTCCAAACTTCTCGGATCCCACTTCAAAAGCCATTATGACATATCCGCGAGTTTCAAAAGAATATATAACACCCTCAATGCAACAAGATTTATCAAAAGCTTATGAGTACCTCCTCAACTTATCGGGGATGGAATCAATATTTCGCCGCGAGTTGGTGCCGAGTGTCAAAATGTGGTACTCCACTCGTGTTTTCACCTCATTTCCTCTTATACTAATAATCGGACATTTATTAAGGACTTTGTAGCTGTGGGAAGAAGGAAGGATCAAACCCTAAAATGTATTGCGGATAGCATTTGAATTCAGTTCACGGTGGTTCTGAACTATACTCTGTAGATCCAGAAGGTGGCCCAGACATCTTCCGCCTCCTAAGTCTCCCGCCAAGTTATGGCCGCCGCTCAGAGTATAAATTGCACGACACTATACAGTGCATGAATGGCCTAGTATGTGTCAGAGAATGCGTATGAGAGTGTTTATGGTGGGAGTGAATGAAAACTGGATCGTCAATGATGGAGCACAAGAGCTTGGAAACACACCTCAATCTCAGCAAAGTTTTCACTGGAAGTTGCTTCAATATCTCGGAGATAATATCTCGTTCCATCTTGTTAGCAAGTTTAGGGTTTTCTTCTGTGATTGCGAGAGTCTAGAAAATCCAATTTAAGGCTGGTTTGTTTTGATGTAAAATATATAGAATATAACTTATTCATTAATTTTTTGGTAAGTTTTACACGTTTCGGCCCAATGGATTCTACACTCAAAACATAAAATAAAAAATTAAATTTACTTATTATGTCGAATTAAACTGAGAATAAAAAACAACCGAGTGTTTGTAGAAATAAATAAATAAATAAATAATTTAGCAAGCATAGTTCCTTGTAAATGAAGGAGATGTTTGTAGGATAATAACTAGAAAACAATGCTCTCGAATGAACGAAATTGGTATTTTTTTTTCTATTTTTTCAAAAGGTATATTTTATATATATATAGATATATATTATATAAGAAATAATTCAAGTCCAATGCAGCTAGCAGGCAAGAGCCAAGAGAAGGGCCGAACAAGATTGGCCCAACAACTTAAGCCATATCTGGATAGACCTGAAGAATTCTCGTGACCTAGCTGCATAAGAATTCTATTTATGCAAACAATGTGAACCAAATTAATTCAACAACCATAAAATATTAAACACACATCTATTTAAAATACTTAAATAATTTAAAATTTTGAGATTTTGAATCACAATAATATTAAAAAAGGCCTAAAATTGTTAAACCAATTTGCAATGGACCCTAAGATATCTTGAATTTTAAACAATGTGAACTGTTACAATATGTTGCGTAAATTTCATGAAAGATTCAAAACTGAAAATAACAAAAACCGATATTTTTTTTACAAATAAGAAGTTAAACAGTCTTTCCTGTTACACTTAATATATTTTCAATCCAAATAAGATGAATTTCTCATTCCTATCCTCTTCAAGCATATATATATATATATATATATATATATATATTGCAGATTGCACCTGGATTAAAATAACATTATGAACATTATGCAGAAATACCACACAAGTGTTATCATCAACCGAACAACATTTCAATATATACCATACATTTATAGTGTGATGTATACTATATATTTCCAACTCCATACATATACATCATTTGGCATGCTTTTCTCACTAGTTTGCCGTCCAGCCATTTTGACGGCCAATGATGTCAAAGTTCCAAAATTGTGCCCTATTACGTCTTACAAAATATGGTCTCTCTCAAACACTCATCCATTAGTAACATTCTAAAATTCAAGTAATAAATTTTGAGAGAGTGACATCTCATGCTTAAAATGCATTTTAATCAATTACAAGAGTGATAGTAATTGGGAATGGATCCCATGCAATGGATCGAGCGTTATCTTCACGGTTAATGTTTACCCAAAAAAAATTGTAGCAGAGAGACCATAAAGTTGCTGCATTGTTCCTGATATGCTGGCTGGAAATTTCCGAGAAGACTGCTTAAATTTTGTGAAGGCGGCAATATATTAGCATTGCGCTAAACAATAATTAAGATCCTAAATCGAATTAATAAAAACAAAGTAAAGCTCAATAACATGCACATTAACTTGGAAGGAAGATATACCTTGATTACAACATTAGCACCTCTCAAGCTTCTTTCCTTGTTATCCTGACGTTTAACAAGTCAAGAGCATTAGAAACTATTTCTTTTTTACATTTTGAAAATAATTATGGGACAATTCTGATAGTTAACACTTAAAAACCACAGGATCAAATTATTTGTCTAGGAATTGACCACTCAAAACCGTTAACAATAATAATCCGCATGATAATTTCATATATTCACAGGCACACGTGTACACACACACACACACACACACACATATATATATTCACTCACATAATTTTTGTAAAAACCAAATTTGATCTTCAAATTAGACAATCAGCAACGCAAAGTAAAAATATATATTGCTCTTGTACAAACTTTCCTCATCTAGGATTCTTCCTAAAGGAAAGGAATTCTGAATTATATATGTGTGTGTGTGTGTGTGTGTGTGTGTGTGTGTTTAGAAATCTCACCTAAAACAATAGATTCCCAAGGCAGTTGTTATTTCGTGAATGACTGATGTTGCTAAGTGGAGATAGAGAGCCGCTAAGTCCAGTAGAAAAGAATTGCAGTCGCAAAAACATGACAAATAGCATCAAACATACATTTAGAATAAGAAAGAGCGTTCATGTCAGTAAAAAACAAAACTCTGAAAAATGAAGTTAAATTCTACAGATCACAAAAACACTAAGTGCTAACTTCCAAGGTAGTTGCATACCAATTGAAAAACTAAGACAAGTATTAAACACCTACAAGTTTATGTATTCAGCATCTTTCCCATTTCCTCAAGAAAATAAATGTTTTCATAAAAGAACCAAGTCAAAGAAAGTTACCACCAGGAACGTGGTTTAGGACAATTTTTTCAAGGAAAAAATAAATAAATAAATAAACAGCAATTTTCTAGAAACTTGAAATGGAAGTAATTATACCTGTATACACACAGTAAGCAAGGAGAACCCATCTCTCATCAACTATTGGAGTTCTGCCACAAAATAAAGATTTTAATGAATGACGAAAGTACCATGACTATCAAAATGGTAGTAATGATATGCCGAATGTATTATGTATTCTCTCAATTCTCTGTTGTAAGATGGAATACTTGTACAATTCAATAAGCTGTGCTAGATAGCTCGAATTACCACATACCCATCATTCAGTCTGGCAGTGAGAGCATTTGCAATTGCAAAAGGTAGATATAACAGAGACTGCAAAACGAAACATAAAAATTCGTAACAATTGCAGATGAAGTTTGTGTAAATCTAGTGATGTTATTAACCACTTGAAAAGTGACAAATGGAAAGAAAATAAGTTTCTTATTGTTACCAGACATGTTGAAAAGCGCATGGAAATTTCTTATTAATTCCATCTATCTGATAAATGTGGAAAAAGTTTTAAAAGCTAAAAAACTCCACCAAGATTTGATACAAGTGAAAGAAAAGAAGTGAATTTTGTTCAGTTCCCACTAGTAGGAACTTAAAACTACAAAATGTATGAATTCCCCCTAGAAGCAACTTTCAACTAGAAAATGTATACCTTTTTTCTTATAATTGTATACTTTCTCTAGAATTAGGATTAGTGCATTCCCTGGGTGATATTAGTCATATGTGCAAATTTCCTGCATTTGTGTAAAACTTAAAATCTACATGATATAAACACCAATGTAACATGGGCATTTCTTTTCTACATTATAAAACAAATGAGGCTATTAATGAGACGCTATTGCAAAACATGTGTGACAACACTAGCCATCATAATCATCATCATCATCATCATAATGAAAAGTTACCTATTTCTAATTTCTTGAAGTCTCTATTTTATTATTTCATCCCATGTTAGTTTTTGTCAGCCTTTGACCCTTATTAATGTGTTCTGGGGAAAAGATATAGTTATGGGACATTTCTATTTTGCAGATAAATCACCCTAACCAGATCAACCTGAACACTAAACTTCTAATGTGTTCTGGGAAAAAGATATTGTTACAAATGTACAAATTGATTTGAAAAAACCACTTATCAGATGTGGCCAAATCAGCAGTACTGGAAGGGCGATGCTGCTGGATTGAATCCTTAGTGACATATTTATAAAGAAGAAGTAGAAGAGCGTTCACTTCAGGAAGAGAAGTAGTTGATGTAGTTGCACCAGTGATGCTTCCACTTACTTTCTTCATCAAGTTAAAGGCACAGTGCTCTTTTCTTATTGTTATTCCATTTCTTTCATTCAGTGGTAACTTTATGGACTTACGAATCATTATGCTTATAAAGAGAAATATTGTCCTCGTCAAATAGTATGGGTTTTTATCAGATGTTCTATGTTTTTGCAAGGGGGCACTGACTAGTGCAGTGGTAAAATGCTCAGACGTCAGCCGCGGGTCAAAAGTAGTCCAAGGGTTAGGCCTGTATCCAGTTTGTACCTCCCAGAACCACTGAGTAACGGGGACCACATTGGGTAATACCCCTCCTCTTTTTATAATTGTGCAATGTTTTTCTATGTTTTTATCTTTTTGAACAATCAGACACCTCCTTTGAGTTTCAAACAGTACCAGCAATCCTCGTATGGTCCCAGAATTCAGTGAACTTCAATGAGTACTCTGTAAAAGTGTACTACTTCAAGCAGTTCAAAGGACTCCGACTTTCCTGATATAGAAATCATATAAGATTTTCCTTTTTCTTTTTCCTTTTCTTTTTGCTGGGAAGGGGTCAACCATAATGAAAAGAAGGAATATAAGTATCAACTGGCTGTTGAAAGTAATGAACTTGTTGGAAGATCAAACTCATAGGGAAGAAAAGCAAGTAATATGAACCTCAATACCACAAGGATGATAACTAAATATCCAAAAACATCATTGAAATTTCTTATTTTAGGGCCTGTTTGGCAACCATTTCTACTTTGTGTTTTTTGCTTTGGATAGCGAATCAAAAGCACAAAGCATGTTTGGTAACGTTAGCTGCGATTTGAATAGTTACGAAGCGCTTCCGAAAAAGAGGCCAAAACCAGAAGCACCAAATTGTTGCTTCCGCACTATAGCGATAAACAAAACCCAAAAAAATAATAATAATAATAAATAAATAAATAACTCTAAAATGACCTTTTTAAATAGCCATTTTATTTTTCGAACTTGCAACACTATTTTACCAAACGTGCTTTCATGTTTTTGCTTCCAAAAAACTTGCAACAAAATATACATCACCAAACATGCTTCCGAATAGTATTGAACACACTCTAAAGCAGAAACGTTGCTTCTGCTTCGGGTCAAAGCAAAAGCACAAAGCAACTGTGGTTCCCAAACAGGCACTTAATTTTTGTTGTAAAATTTCAATTTGCTTGATTTGATTCAGGTTGCAAGGGGCTGATATTTACAATATGACTACTACTTGACAGCTCTAGCGACACGACAAGACTGGCTGACACATCTGCCAAAGTAACGTGAACCCCAGGAGAGAAAAAAGAAAGAACGGAAGAAATCGAAATGAATAAAATAATCATGAACTTAAAACAAATTAAATAGTCCATATAGCTTCAGCCCAAGAAATCAACATACCATGCACATATTAGTTTTTAAGCCCTTGGGTTCATCACACAAGTGAGCTAAAATCATCCTTCCCTGCCAAAACAAGTTTTGCTTCAGTAACGATATCATAAAAGATTGACTACCTATAAGAACAAAGACCCATGAAAATTTTCAAATTTTACACTATAACAACCTCTATAACACAATTCGATTCACGTCGGGTTCAATCCCCTTACCCTCAATTTTACTTTAACTAAAAAAAAAAAAAAAAAACCCTCTATAACACAAGGGAAATGGGGAGAGAGGAGATAAACATAAAAGGAGGATAGGGAAGTTGATCCACTATCATACAAAAAAAAGGGGCGTTTAGGTTATATCGAGGAATTCCTCACTTCCACGAAGAAGAGAGAAGAATAATTAGGGTGATGGGATGCTTGAGGCTAATCTTCACAGGAGTATGCACACTAATGAGGAAGAGCGGATAAGTTGTGCTTAGGGTTCTGCTGGAATTAAAATATGTTAAGAGTTTCATGGTAATAATGATGGCACACTCAACTTATGGGCCAACCATCAATGCACTTCATATGTAACTGGAAGAACATACAAGTACTCCATCATAGTTGATTAAAGTACAGGAGGCATAACAAAAATAGTCATAAAAGATTTCCTCAAACATAAAAGTCACAAAACAATAAGAGAAATTTTTAAGTAAGTTGTGCATATTCAAGTGAACAAAGTTAATGCATTTTTGTCTTGTGAATGTCCAGGGTCCAAACTACCGTTGGACATGTCTATTGCAGCATGTCATATTGAAAGTGTGCCACAAGATAATCATTAACTGCGACAAGTGCCGTGAATATTGTGAGTAACTTGTCATACAAATTAGTGAACTGACTTGATTGATTCTACTCGTACATTTGTGCATGATTGCTAGTTATTCAACTATAATGGAATCAACAAGCTTTTATTTATCCAACTGTTCTTGTATTCCACTAAAGCCTTCAACTTATATGACCAATGCAAGATTTGTACAAAAGGTAAAAGTGCAGGCTGGATGTTTGGAAACAAAGGTTAAGTGTGAGAAGAGTTACTTGATGTAAATTAAGCCAAGACACCTAGTCCATGCCTTAAACCCCAAATTGATGAGACCAACTATTTGTAATGGACTCTATAGGATAGGTGGGTCTGCCCCAATACATCACTATATTGACATAATATAGTGTTATTTGCCATTCCACAATCCCACTCCAGTACTGCTTTATACGCCCATGTAGTATATGATTATTTTGGGTCGGCTACATGAATCCCATGTTTCCATTCCACTCTATTTAAGGCCAAGGCCTCAGTCAATCCACATACTATCATATCTTTCTTCACTAACTCTACCATGTTAACTTTGGTCCACCTCTTGCCCTAATATTATTTTCAATGTGGACTATGTCATTTTTTCAAATCAGTGCATTTAAAGGTCTTCTTTGCACATGTCCAAACCTTCTTAACCTATTTTCTCTCATTATATCTCCAATTGGCACTACTCCAACCATCTCCGGAATGTGATCATTTCTAATTCTATCCTTTCTAGTCTTACCACACATCCATCTCAACAATCGCAGTTCTGTCACACTTACTGTATGCAAATGTTGTTTCTTAGCTGCCCAACATTCAGTACCATAAAGTATGGCTGGCCTAATAGCTGTTCTATAGAACTCCCCTTTCAATTCTAAGGGAATACACCTATCACACAATATACTAGATGCACTCAACCATTTAACCCATCCTGCCTTGATTCTATGATTAACATCATCTCCAATTTCTCCCTCATTATAAAAAATGATTAAGGAACAAAACTACTCCTAACATTTTTTTTTTTTTGGATAGGAAAAAAAAAATTGGAAGTTTTGTGGCATCATCTAAAACACTTGAAAACATAACCATTTAAGAAAGCTTGGGGCCTCTGGAGCACCTGAAGCTTTAGACTTATGATTTAGCCATGAAATTTGTCTTCACCCCAAACATGCACCACCAAACTTTTGCAGGTGAAATTGCAGCTCATTAAGGATCTATAGAAAATATATCATCCCACAAGGTGACAGTTGTGCCCATGTCGCCCATGTATAGGTGGACAAATAACCATGTGGCGACACCATAATCAAGTCAAACACAAAAACTCTAGATTCCTCCGCCCTAAATCAGATAATATACATAACCTGGGTAGCTTACCCTAAAGGAAGCCAAAGCCAAATAATGTTTTCACAGGTCCATAGGAACATTGAGTGACTACTCATGTAACCTGCTCTATGAGAGTCAAATTTTAATTTCCAAAAATAGATTAAAGTAATACAAATTAAAAAGTTTAGACTTAGACAAAAGTCTCAAATTCAGCATATTGGGTCACTACAGATATCTTACCACAAGGAACCCAAATGCAAGTCCAGTTCCCACTATAACCAAATGTGGATAGTTCACCATTATATCGTTTGGAGACAAATAATCCCTGCACAAGAGAGAAGTCATAGTATGATAACAGATGCGATTCTCAAAAGATAAGAAAATGGAAAGCAGACAACAGAAATAGTTACATACCACACCAGGACTCCTCCCACGAGCACAACAAAAGGGTAAAGCTATAAGAGACAATAACAAGACCGATTAAGAAAGGCTAGAAAAAGAGAGTATTTTAATAGGAAAAAGAATTACCATTGCCAATGCCAGTAACATGCTTCCTTTCCTTGCCTGAACGACCTTATAAACATTGTACACACTGCACAAGAGAGTATAACACCATGCAAAATAACGTCAAGCTATATGTTACAGAAAAACAATAGGTCTTCATGAATGTGTGTTGTGGTATGATCAAACAATCTTCCACAAAGACCAAAAATAATCGTCCTAATACAAAGTCATTATGGTGTGTAAGATTATTGTTGGTCACCGCAAGGTCTGCAATCATTTCTAGCCTGTCATCCTAAATATTCAGGCAAAGTTGCGATTTAGACATGTATTCATGTCCATGTACCCAAAAACATTAGCAACAAAGTTCGTGGGGACCATAATGACAAAATGAAGGTAATATGATTCTACTATAAGCCAACAATGGGTGCACAGCAAGTAAGATCCTGTTCTTCAACTTAAGGCTAATAATAACATAATCTATAACCTATTAAAATGTTACCATATAAAATATTACTCAATCTATTAGAGAATATAGGCATGGACAAGGGCACGATGAATGGATAAAGTGTCAATCTAAACCACTTCGTGTACAAAGAAATGATATAAATTTCACCATAAAAAATAAGTAGTACTTACTTGAATGAAACTGTTGGTATAACAGCAAAAGCTATCATTAAAACCAACACAGCTCCGGATGTCGGGATTTCTGGGGACAAAAAAAAGGAAGAAGAAGCACTACATTACACAAAACTAACCAATGAACTTTAACTAAGACAGTACAAAGATGCAAGGTTGAAAGACATACGTAATCGAGGAATTTGAATAATGAATTCATAGAGATATTCAACCGAGATCGCAATGGTGTCACAGATAAAATCTCAAGAGATAGCTTTTCTCAAGACCTACCAATAGAAAAGAGACAAAAGATACCCCGGTCCAACGCTTTTTTACTGACAAAAGTAGTAAAACTTCGAAAGTGAAGTTCTGGTAACTTAGCGATAGCTGGTTTAAAACACCAAAAATCCCAAAAGGTAGTAAAATAACATCTAATATGGTGGATATATGCAACAGGAAACAAATACTTGGTTATGCCAGCACAACCAGCTGAAGACGTAAGCACTTAAAATCCTAAATGCAGTCAGTCAAATTTCACATTCATAAGGTAGCAATACCGTGTTCATTCAATCATACATTTTATTCCAAGATAGAAGAAAAAAACAGACCATATTACTAGTATCCTTTAGGTCACTTCGCACAGTAATTGTATTAATTACCTTCCATGGGAACATATAATTATCTCAATGACAACAATAGAACTCGCATAGAAGTATAAAACACTGTTGATTCCAATGTTTCGCAAGAGTTTCAGAAGTAAAGTGAGTAGAATGAAACAAATTATATGGGTAGTATACATACGTGCAAACCTAACAGGTAAAATCTCCTGCCAACAAGACCACAAGACAATTATCCAGTGTGGTCCCCATTGATAGAGGGCACTGGAAAGGGCATACCCTATAAGCTTTATTTGCACAAAGTGACCGCCTTCAAAATTGCACTCTAAGTCTCAAAATTGACAGCCTGAGCTTCTATAAATAACTATGGAATTTTACTTTGGCTGGGTCCATCATGTGTGATAGAACATATGCATCAAAATAATTTATCCAGATTCGCAACAAGAACAATCACTTTATAGATATCCTTTTTCTACCTATGACACATTACCATTTAAAAACGGAACCCAACTTAAGAAGGGAAGTGATTTTCCAAATGGTTGAGCCCACCATTGAGCACCTGAAGAAGAAATGTACACGAATTAATATTTTTGTGAAATATAGCAGAAAAAGGAGGGGATAAAATGAGAAGCAGTAAGAGACGTGAACTTTATCCATCCTATATATGTACACAATTAATGTGTAACAGACATACCAACTATAGCTGTAAGGAAATGGGCTACATATATCAACATGAGACCCTCAGTAGGTCCGTTGAAGGCCGGAAGAATAAGGGTATTGGTGAAATAGCTGCACAAGGAAGCACTATCAATAAATTCTCCACCACAATTACCAATTCTAAGTATTATATATCAATGAGATTACAGTAGAACACAAAAGAAATTTTAACTACAAATCCCCCCAATATGATTTCATAAGGAAAATTTTGTAGAGAATAAAAGAAATGATCCTACAAGAAAAATAGAATCCACAACATCATTGTCAGAAAGAAAAATGTTATCATCACATTCTAGATATCTCCCTATTCAAGAATTTAAATGTAGCTTTTCAGTAGTTCTTTGCATGTCTGAACAATCTAGTAAGGATTGGTGAATTAGCACCCACAAAACCCAATGCACACAAACACTTGACCTTGTTCATATTGCAAACATGTTCCTCCTACCATAACCATTTTCTCCATGTATAAAGGAACCATGTGAGAACCAACAATTAGGCAAGTTTCTTTGGAGTTCCTTCAGACACGAAGATGTCATCAAACACCATATTAGGCCTCAAACAAAGTGGAAATATCACAATAACTGATGCAGCTCTTTATCCCCACCACCTCCCCAATAATTGTGTTAATCATAGTGCTAAAAAACTTTAAATTTTATGAACCAGTAAGATTCAGGCCACTTACTGTTCCCATGTTGCAAAATAAAATGGAACAGCTGAAATCACCCAGAACCAGAAAGTATTTCTTCCACACATAGCAGTGCTCCCAAAGGCCAAAGTCTCAAACTGATAAACATCATGAACAAAATAGATAACGAAATATACTTGCCATGGTTATAATACAGAACTAAACCATACAAGTACATACCGTGCATGCAAGTGCATCACATCCTGCAATATTTGTGAATGGTAAGAAATATATTTAATTAGTGTTGAACACTGATAAGAAAGAAAGGCAAACTACACAAGAAAGAAAAATTACCATGATCAAAAAGTTCCCCCAGTGGACTAGAAGAATTTGTCCGTCTTGCTTGTTTCCCATCAACAGCATCAAAAGTCTGACATGGATTTGACGGTCAAATTAAGGATTACAGAAAAGAAAATATTCCGACTCTAAACACCAACTAATTACAGGAAGTTCACAACACAATAGGCAGCAAAAAGAGTGAGATTATATAATTTCTAATCGGAAAATAATCTCTCTTCAAGAAGGTAAAATGAGATATACGATTATGCGTGCGACGGTTTTCCATAGATCGTGATCGCACAATTTTAGAAATTCTAAATCTCTAACAGTTTCCCCCACCATAGTTTAGCACTTGAGCAACAGCATGTTAGAACCAAGCAACTAATATTTCACTATTTCAAGCCATGGAATTTTAATCCGCAAATAAATAAGCCTTATTACAACTAGAAAATGATAATATATTATGTAAAGAGAACTCCTATATCACTTTTTCTTCTTCTTTTTTAGTAAGTACACAAACATAGCTGCATCTTCTATTGACTTTCAATCAAGGGATAGTGCGGAAGTGACCAGAGGAAGTTGCACCTCTGAAACGGAATGTGTCGTAAATGCCCCGCACCCCCTCCTCTGGAAGTAGCAAGGGACACCAATTAATGTAACTAAAATACCTCCCGCACCACTACTTCGGGTTTCAAATTTCCAGATCTGCCTCCAAGTTAAAATGGTATACAACCATATCCATAATAAACATATGGGCAGGGATTGGAACAAGGAAAACCCCTCCATTGAGATCGATACAAAGCAGTATGGAAAGGTTAGGCCTAAGAAAGTGCATGAGAATAGGCAGGACCATAAAGGGCATTTAATAGGACTTCTATATTTGAGCCAAAAATTCATGAATCGCAGATCAAGTTGCTCTATACCTGAGTAGGGCCTCTAGATGTGCATGTTACATATCCTCACTAAACATGTGAGGTTTGAGATGCAAAGAGGTCATAGAAGATCCAGCTCTCCATATTCGTTGCTGTTCCAACGTGTGACAAACAATTATAAAAAGTTAACAAATGACATTGTTTCTCAAGCCGACGTCTATACTAGATGTTATATGTCCAATAACTGAAATCACTTGTCCCAAATCGTGATTCAATTAAAACTAAGTCTCATATTTAAGTACCATTCCCTAAGCATCAGATTATATGGCTTCAATTGAGTACAAATCAAACCTTCAGAAGTATTTATAGGATATTCAGGAAAGGACCAGACCAAAACCTAATGTTGCATGGTAATTAAAACACTAGTCATAATAAGTCCAATACCTAAAATCCAGTCAAATTGCTATCCCTGTTTATGAGCACCCAAATAAATTCCTAATGATAGTTGACACCAAGTTTTATATAATTAAAGTTTCACGCATCCAGATTTGTAACTAAAGAGCCACTGTTCACTGATTCATCAAATACGAAAAACAACAGAGGCAAACCAGCTATAGAACTATCAAATTAAAACAATGCATGATAAGATGAAAGATCAAGACTGAGGAAGCCCACTTTGCCACATGGGGACTTGAACCCCATAAAAATTAGTGCATGAAGAGATTTATGATGTCAAGACAAGAAAACATGCAAGCCAATTATTAATGCACCAAATGCAACAAGAGAAGAGAAGGAAAGAAGCATGTGATAATACTGCTTGCCAGAGATGTAAGCAAACCTGGTATAAGAAAAGAAGTAATCCATGAGCAAAATGAACCCATCTTGGTGGAGGAGAATCCAAGCGAGGTGAATATATCTGAAACACATCTGTGTAAGAAACTCAAGGAAGAAACCCTAAACACAGAAATCTCATTTGGCTTAGAGACATTTCTCTGTACTATGCTAAATTTAATACATGTCAAAGAAACTCTTCCCATGCTTTTAACATTCTAAAATAAATTAATAAATATTAATGTTGAAGTATTATTAACCCAAAAAAAAAACACAACAGCAGCTTGTATTATTTTATTTGAGTATATGCTTTTCAAATAATAGGTCAATAAAAGAAGATCATAAATATGATGAAGGGAAGTTAATGGCTTTCCAAAAACACATTAAATATCTTTATCCTACCTTTATAGACATAGATCTGCTCCTGGCTTGTTGGACTGGGCCTTGGAATTTGGGGGAGTAAGCAAGGGTTCAACACTCAGTGACAGCAAATCATATTATCTTGAGTAAGCAAGTTGTTCACAGCTGGCTTGTTCAGGAGACAAACTGGCCGGTTCGCTATACCGGAGAGTATAGGTATCAGGGACCTCAAATCCCGTTGTGAACCGGCCGGTTCCTAAAATGCCTCAAGAGTGTTCCAATAGGCTCATACAAAAGCCAACATGACCATAGAAGTTGGGTCAGGAGGAGAAACCACTCAACCACCTCTCTATTTTCCAATTTCTTCTTATCTTTTTTCCCCTAAAAAAAGTATTATTGTTCTCAAGGAAGGCCTCATGAATATCCACAGCAAAAATTTTAAATTTTGAAAAAGGTGGTACTGGAGTTACTCCAGATGAAGAGTCAACCATCTCAGTGGCTTTAGCAATACAGGTGGCCAAAATTAACTCCTTGATTTCATTAGAATTGGTGTGGTCACACAGAAAAGATCCCATTTTCATTTTCACAGATCCCATTACCCACTCTAGGATCTCCTCCCCCTGTAGGGGAATAACTTAAATCTTGTCTTTATGTGGACCATTACCCACAAATCAACCTTCAGAAAATGAAATATTGATGGCATTACCAATTCTCTACTTAGCACCTAATTTGATGAATAGAGTAATATCCATGAAATTTCTTCAAAACACATGAGAGACTATTTTTTTTCAGGAGATCTGAGGTTTGGTAGTACAGACTAGTACTTGCTTCTAAGTACCTTATTCCAAGTATTGTCATCGTCTTTAACAAGGTTTGGCCCATTATAGGGCAATATTGTAATTCTCTGGGATATTATTGATAGGAAAAAACTAGAAAATAAAACAAGATGAGGGAAACAAAAGAACAAGTATGAAAAGCAGGACAGAGATGCCATTAAAAAAAACCACATTAAAAAGAACTTAATATTTAGTGTATTAAAGAACACAACATAAAGAAGCCCTCACGCACATAGCCAAGCAGTGCAGATGTGACCAAGAACATGAACCCTGTAAGTGTAATCTGGAAGAGTAAAACAAAAATACAACCGACTATTAAACAAGCACAAGAAAATCATCTTGAATAGATAATTACATGTCAAGACGATATAGTATAGTAACAATGATTAGTTTACCATATTGGGCCTGGAAAAACGTTCAGTACATGCAAACACAAAAGAAAGAAGCTGTTAGTGATTTCTGCTGAAAAATTAAAATGCTTCCTCCTATACATCTCATAACAAAAACATAAGCAAGAAATAGTGATCAGACTGAAACGAACTACCAATGATGTAGGTTTTTTTTTCCCCCCTTACTTTCTATAAGACTGTAAGTCTACTCATCTAAAAAGATCCAATTAATGGTATCCCTTCCTTCGATCAGATAGAGATGCAAAAGTAAGATGTAGAAACTAACTTCAGGGAAAGCCACAATCAGGATGATAATATTACTATACAAGCTAAAAAACTTGAACATGTTTAAATGTGTCTGTGTTATTCACACATGCAGAGTGTATTTAAAATGAGATATGAACAATGACTAGATGCAAATATTTGTCAGGTAATCTAATCAAACCCAGATACTAGAAAATTATTAGTAAATAACTATAGTAATGATGCTCAGGTCCAAAGGAAATAGTACGCAAAAGCAACATTTGGAAGTTTCTTAAGGCAACTGAAAGTAAAAGAGGAAAACTTCTTGAAATTTATATTCCCATCCAAAATCTGAACAGGCCAATGCTACCAAAACCATGCCTAAGCAAACAAATTTTGCTTACTTATAAAGTTTGTTTCAAAAGCTTCCCAGAATTTGCATGATGTAGCTTTAAAGATTATTAATCACACCCATGATGAGCCCTTCAAAAAAACTCTCAGTCTGGTTTCCATTAAGAGTTTTAGCAGGCAGGAGAAGTTTTCTGATTATGAAACTTTATCCCAGGTGATCTGTATATTTTGTAGAACTCCTATTAAAATTGCTAATATTCTGCAGGTATTTGGATTTCTTTGTTGAAGAAAAGAAAAATCTCTTGTACTTAAAGATATTGGACAAAAATAATTTGAGTGTTGCAAGGGCAAATCAATAAGAAGAATGTGGGAGGAGAGGAATAAATTAACCTATTAATGAATACTAGTATGAATAAATGTTTTTGTTCAACTAAAATATGAAGACTTCTTTGTCAGAAAAAAGGGTCCAGTTCCAACTTTCAATTCTAATTGTAAGTGCTCGGACTGAGCGTGAGATCACGTTGCAAGTCTAAAAAAACAGCCATTTCCAGTCTGACTCCCAGAATCCCACACGTGAGAGATGGACATTGAGTAATGACCTATAGTTTGATATAGATATCTAGAGTTTCATCCCCTTGTTTTTACATTGCTGTACCATAGAACACGAACCATTTAAGTGGCTATAGTTAAATTCCAAGTTCCCTTTTTTATTTGTACAACTCATTAGCTATGAAAAAAGCATAATGGAGAAGTATACATTTCCAGCACCATGTTAGTCTATTATACTAGCACCCAACTAAGAAGGGCAGCCCACGAGACTCCTGTCACTGCTAGGTATGGGGAGGATCAAATACAGGCATCTTTACCTACGTATGCAGGAACATTATTTCCGGTTCAAACCCGCTACCTCCAGTCTCAACGGAGCAACATTTCCATTGCACCAAGGCTCACCCTCTATACTAACAACCAATTAAACCCAACACATATACACATACTAAATCAAAAATAAATTCTACAAAAGAACATTTTGCAGTAACCGATCAATACATTTTTCTATAGTATTCACTATAATATTTACCCAAAAAAAATGAGCTCTAAAATAGTTGTATACTTACGGCATCCAAAGTGGGAAAAGATTAACACAGCGTCTCCAAAAGGGCTGCAACACATATTTTGCGAGATATGAGTTATCCACTCCACTGTACTTGTATCTATGCAGTGCAGCAACTCCATGAGCCCCTATATATCCCATTGTGTATATATAATATAACTCTGTATAACCTGCCCAAATTATAGGAAAAAAAAAAAAAAAAGACTGAGCAATATAAATTGATTCAAGCGCACTCTATAAAAACAGAACAACAATAATCCACCAAAGATGTCAATAGACCACACAACAAATCAATTTAAATATACACATATGTGTGTATATCTTCACGAATTAAACACTCACAACAGCAAAAAATGAACAAATTGTGAATAACCATGCATGGAGTGCGTATAAATTACCGAAATAAATTATAAATTAACAAAAAATACAACTGTGAGTAAGATATGTATATGAAAACTTTACCTCCTTGAAGTGCAGAGATCGAGCAAAGTTAAGAGAAAGATCGGAGATTTGGACTATACAAGAACACATACATATATGTGTACTGTGTATACGAAGAGGCTGAGAAATTGAGGAAAGTGTGGCGAAATTTGCAAATAGAAAAATGGAAAATAAGAATTAAGAAATACTAGAAGATCTTGATTAAATACAAACCGCGTCGGACCACATAAAGGTCAAGTTAAGCATGACCAAGACCATGACCGTCGTATAATATATATATATATATATATTATTATACCACACACATAGTGTAATACTTTCCTGAATCGTGCATTGGATACTCGAATTTTGGGTATGACTACATCACATTTTGCGGAAAGTTTAATAATTTTTATGTACATAATTTAAGGGACATTTTGTTTGTTTTGATGTAAATGAAATTTTTTTTTTATGTAAAATATTTTTTTTATTCTTAATTTTTGGTAAAGGTCCAAAAAAAAAAATTAGAACAAAAGGACAAGTTAATTTTGATAAAATATATTACTCAATAAATATTTTTCTTAAATTTTGGACAACCAAACACTAAATAAATAAAATATATATATTTTAAAAAAATATTTTATATTCAAACAAATTAGTGTCTAAATCTAAGGCACACAATCTTTCTCAACAGGTGTCACTGTCACGCTTCGAGTGCCCTGTCGCTCTCACACTCCGCACATACCTCTCGCTCAAATTCTTAGTGCTTATGACTTTTTTCTACCGGTCAGTCTCTCCCGCTCTCGCTCCCGCTCCCGCTCCCATTCCTGCTCTTGCTTTATGTGACTTAGGTCTAAATTAGGAGAAATTATTTCTAATTGGTCACTAATTAACACATAAATAAATAAAAATTAAATAAAATTGATATATTTACTAACATAATAATTAGTGATTGGCCCAAAATCATATCATAATTTTTCCCGAATTATATGATGTCAAAACTCAGATACCACTATTCTAGACAAAATAATAATGATTTATGTATATAGTTTGAATACATTTCGGGAAAAATAAATAAGTAAAGTGTACATGATTTTAGTTGGATGATGAGATTGTACATTTGAATTTCATCATTAAAAAAAAAAACACAACAAAATTTTTAATAAAATTCATATATTTCCAAAGAATAGCATACCATTTTCATTCTATATTTGTACGGGACGTCTCAAAGGAATTTTCTTTATAATTGCTTGATGCATATGAGATATGGGATTGTTCTAGTGACTTATATGATGATATGAGAGATTTGATATTGTCATTATTGACAAAATAAATTAAGAAATAATCAACAGATCAGTGACTTAGTGATATCAAACACTTATTTTTTAAAGAGAGGTCAGAGTTCAAACCTCAACGAAGGCATGTATGTGTATGTGAGTACCAACTAAAAAATAAAAATAAAAAAACTTGAAAGCAAATATATATACACACACATGTATATTCATCTAGGATTGGGAGCTCTATTTGTTTGGTAGGGAGTTATGAGTGCTCAAAATCCATTTTTTATGATATTAAATAATCTTTTGTACAAATAATAATCAAACTTCTGTTTAGAAATTGTAATTCAAACTCAACTCTTAAGGAGTTAAATGATACAAATTCAAAAGGACAAATACTAGATCGGTGTAGATTCAAATTTGCGTATCTTTACAGTTATTATAAGCTTTTTATTAGTTGATTTTATTTTAATAATAGAAGAATTAATTTATTGAGATTTTTATTTTTATTTTCTCTAAACAAAATGGGCAAACAAAAAATCTTTTCAGCATTGATTTGGGCGAGTCCTTTTCAACATTATTGGCTCCCATATATGTCGGTACATTTGATATTCAATTGGTTGTTGATGAAGGTGCCAATAATTTCAACGGTGGTCCCATTTTTGCACCCACTGCCCTGAGATGTGAGACACTATACCGATCAACCGGAACCAAGCTTGAAAATTAATTAATCTCTCATTTCATAAGAAGTGTCATATTTAAAGAATTCAAACTCACGTATAATTATAAAATAAAAAAAATTATAAACATTCTAATATAAGAAAGAAAATTGGTATATTAACCAATATATCATCTGTAACACAAGTAAATGAATATGAGAAAATAAAAAATAAAAATTCAAGGGTTGCAGTTTAGTGGTATGTGACTTGCCTTTCAACGTGGAATGCTTAGTCGAGATAAAATAAGTGTGCCAATGAATTTTTAAAACAATTAATTGATTGAATCTCACCCTTGTCTGATTGAGAGGTGAGAATCTATATTTATATATGTTTTTAAATTTGAAAATAAAAAAGATAAAATATTTGTGAAAGTTCAAATTTAAAACTTAAAATCCTATTCGTAATCCTCATTCTTATCACACCCCCACAATCCAGACGGGATAAGATGCACCGTGAGCTTGTCTCGTAAGAAGCGGGATATTAGAATGATGAAAGCTCTTTTAAGTGTTACAAAATTGTTATCAATAAAAAAAACATGGTATGCGTTTGGTGTTGCATTTTATAAAGTACTTTTTATACTTTAAACACGTTTAAATTTATTTGGTAACAATGTTATTTAAAGCACATTTATTTCTAATTTACTATATTAGACATACACGGTGATACCCTGATTTTCAAGCCGTGGGTTGATCAAGTCCAAGCCCAAAAACCAGGGAATATCGAAACAATTAATATTTTAAATCAAACACATAATACAAAAAGAATAATTAATAAAGAAATAATGGAAAACTAATAAATAAATAAATCATCTCCATTAAATAAAATCCATTAATTCTCAAAAATGGATAAAAATCTCCATGGAATATATCGCCATAAAAAATACAATTCGGAAATCCTCAAACATGAACCCCTAATAAAATCCTATAATTGAAAATAATAAATGTCTGTAAATTGAAATAACTAATCAGAAGATAGAATCCTACGTTGATGACACAGGAAAAGTGATGATGTCAAGTCTCTAATCTGCATGAACAACTACTAATCTTGCTACTAACGAGGACCCGAAAACTATAACAATGGTGGGTCAAAACCCACAACAAGTCCTTTCTACGACAACCCAAATAAAGATCGAAGAAACTATAAATCTATACCTAACTCATGCAATAGCTACATAGTCGATAAGTATATAAATATACACACTAAAGACTCTTACTGAATTAAGGCAGATTTAACCGTGTAGTGGGTATCTCATGCAAATCGCACACAAAGGTGGTCACGAGTCCTCTTTCTACCAGGGCACACACATCCTTAATCCAGCTACCCATCTCAATTAGCAATATATGTCTACATCCTAACCACTAATCCCAAGACATCAACCTTGTATCATGGTACACATAATATCATTATAGATATAATTAACCATATCTTGATAATGGTTAATAGATAACAACTACACCCATATCCAGACAATAGGTTGGAAGTAATAAAAAAATATATAATAGTCATATCCCAACAATGGCATGTCATCCATATCCTGACAATGACCTAACATGGAATGAGTCTAAACTTATTAGCCAGCTCATCCACATAATACAAAATAAAGCCATATACTGACAATGGCATACATAGAACCACATCCTGAAAATAGTCCACAAATAATCCATCATATATATATATATATATATATGATGGATTATTTGTGGACTATTTTCAGGATGTGGTTCTATGTATGCCATTGTCAGTATATATATTATGTCTAAGATTATAAAATACAGATATGCAATTGATTAAAATCATATCATATCCTAACAACAAATAACATATAATTTTATGTCATTAAACCATGCCCTCTATTAGGCTGACTCATGAACCCTGTGATACCCCTCGGATCCGAGACACGGGTTGATCAGGCCCAGGCCCAAACCCGAGGGATATCAAACAATTAAGGTATTTTAAATCGAACACAGAATACAAAGTGAAATACGAAATAATTTAATAAGCTGAAAGAAACTAAAAAGAAATCCTTGAATCATAATTAATCAAATCTGATAATCCAAAGCTCCATAAGTTTACAACTCGGGAATCCATCCATTGGACCCCTTATTAAAATTCTCAAACCAAAACTGAAATAATAGAAATAAAATCCAAAACTATCATGGAGAAGATTCCTACATAATCGGAGGAATGAATATCTGTATCTGCTCTGCACGTCCAAGCTCTAACCCTGGAACTAACGAACACTTGAAACATAAAGGAGTGTGTCAGGCCCACATGCAAGTCCTGATCTACTACAATCCAACAGTAATCCGATACGCAGATACATCCTAGGAAGACTCAACAATAGCTAGAGTAGTCCATATATGTATATAGTACACACTATAGGACGCTCACTAGTCCAGTAGGTTTGTCTTAGCCTGAATAGAAGACAACATGCAAATACGCACCCTAAGGTGGGTATGAGTACCTAGACATACCAGGGAACAACACCTATGTCCAGTTATCCATCCTAGGCAATATACACGCCCTAACCATGGTTATGAGACTCAAGCTCATACCACGGCACCATATAATATATATATAAAGTCCGTACTCCTCCTAATACAAAATACCATCCATCTGTGTAGTGGTCTAATGTATGTATAACAAATCCATCCTGAAACCATAGTAGGTCATTCAATTCTCAATTGATATGACACAAATAGGTGATGGACTTAACCTTTATGATTAATTCATACCTTAATCCAAATTTAGGTAGGGCTTAGTGTCTAAACTAATCCGTACCTAGTAAGACACCGTCCCATATCGGTGCATACCATCTTCCGGTTTACGTAGTTAATAATACAGTATAATTATTTATTAACCACATCCCAGAATAAGCATAAATATAGTTTAACACGTATACAATCAATTTATGCAACCAATGTAACATTTAGACATCTCATTACAGTTCTTTATATAAATGAAAAGACTGTACATTTAGCTCCTCCATTTAACATAGTTGACGAAAACAGTATTTGATACTAATCAACCATACTCCAAAATTTGCATAAATATAGTTTAACATGTGTATAACTAAATTATGCATCCAATAACAATTTTAGAATCCCAGTTCCAGTCCTTTAAATTGATAAATTAAGATTATACAATTTACTTCTTCATATAGTACCATAACTGATGCATTGTATAACAGATTTTAAACATCAGTTAATCCAACTAAGCATACACATATTTAGCTACTATATGCTTATATCACAGCTAAAAACATGTCTCGCAATTTAAGATTTTGCAG